GGGATAGAAGAGAAATAGACCGTCTGACACGTGTACTACAAGAAAGGGAAAGGGAACTAGAGGAGGAGAGAAGAGAAAAGGAACAAGTTAGAAACAGACTACAGCAACAACTTGAAGGAAGAGAACGACAACTTGAACAAGCACAGCAACAAGGACAAGAAAGAGAGAGGCAGGCCAGGGAACGAGAGCAGAATCTTCAACGACAACTTCGAGAAAGTCAACAACAATTCCAGAGGGAAATTGAACAAACACGGCAACAAGGACAAGAAAGAGAGAGGCAAGTTCAGAATCTTCAACAACAGCTTCAAGAAAGAGAGAGGGAAATTCAAGAGGGTGGAGAAAGAGAACAGGGTCTTCAACGACAGCTTCAACAAGCTCAGCAGCAGCTTCAGGAAAGTCAAGAAAGAGAGAGAGGCCTAGAGCAGCAACTAAGAGAGAGAGATAGACAAGAGAGAGAGTCTTCCTGGGTAGTTAGCAGAAATGATATTAGAATGACAGAAAGGATTTTAGGGAGAGGAGGATGGGGAGAGGTCAGAGTAGCTCGTTTCCATGGACTGGAAGTTGCTGTAAAGGTACTTCACGAGACCATCATATCAGAATATAACGTGTCACTGTTCTCTCGTGAAATGAATATTGCTTCTAAAATACGTCATCCTAACCTCCTTCAGTTCATAGGAGCGACTACAGAGGGTAATCCAATCATCCTGACAGAGCTAATGCCGACCAGCCTAAGAAAGGAATTGGAGACTGGAGGACTGGCCTATCCTGCCATACTGAGCATCAGTTTAGATGTAGCCTGTGCTCTCAATTACCTTCATCTCTTCAAGCCTCATCCTATACTACATAGAGATGTCAGCAGTGCTAATGTACTCCTTCAACCAATGGGAGGTGGACATGGATGGAGGGCTAAAGTATCTGATTATGGATCAGCTAATCTTCAGCATCTTATAATTAGGTCAGTCAATCCTGGTGGCCCACTTTATGCAGCACCTGAAGCAGGGAATCCCAGGGAACACTCTCCTTCAATGGATGTGTTCAGTTATGGTGTCCTCCTTCTAGAGATG